GACCATTTCAGCTATCGATTCTTATTCAGCCGATATATACACCTTCATTGGCTGTCCTTGGATAGGTGACACCAATACTAGTGGATTTGATAAATACGTCTTTAGGCTATCAAAAGCCTTTTGATGTTCTTCCTCTCAGATGAGTTCGTCCTGGTTTTTCTGAAACGGTCAAGGACAATAAAGAAATTAGAGCGGTAACTTAAAATTCAGTATCAAACAATCAATTGGAATAATTATGTATCAAGTTATAGACCCACAATCAGACTCTTACCTATCCTCATCAGAAAACCAGTTAAGACCAATACTTACCAAACGGAACAAATAATCAACATGTATTTCACTTTTTCTTTTATAATCGAACAAAACAAAATAACTTGCAGTATCGCTAAAATCTACTAGCACTTTTTTGCCATTTGCTACCGCGGCAGACCTAAGGTATGAACAACATTATACAGAATACCTTTGGAGAGAATTCCCTTTTTTTCATGTAATTTCGGAGTATAAACTCAGAATTCCATTATGCTAAGATGGTATAAATAGTCCACAGATAGAACTTTGTACCAAAAAGACAACTTAGTAAGAAATCTTTTCATGTATTTGGGATAATTCCTTGATACTTCTATTGTTAATCAATTGAAAGATTCTTGAAAGATATCAAAAGTCATTTGAAGGTTTCCTACAAGCAAAGATACCTAGATTATACTTGTACCCAATTTCCAACAAAAGTATTCCAAACCGATAAGTCAATCTCAAAATCAAAACAAATAAACTCAAAAACTTTGCCCAAATTCAATACTTGCCAAGAAAACAATTAATTATACTGCCTAAACAAGAAACCATATCCACACACAACTAATAATTATTTTAGCAGGAAAAGTCAAATTATGTTTGAACATCAATTTTCCATCAGAGATGAGCAAAAAATTATAATCAATAACGAGATCAAAGCCAGTAAAACAATCAAGAAACTTGAAAAAACTACACATCTAAATAGAATCATCAGAGAGAGAGAGAGAGAGAGAGAGAGGAGCTAACGTTTGATAAAGTCTAAAAGCACATCAAAGAAATAGAGTTCATTCAATTGTGCAACAAACCCACTTCGCTCAAAAGGAATATATGCATTTTCAATACAACTTGGAATAAAACATGAATCAATTCTAGAAAAAGAGTTGTATATTACAGTGTTTGCAATTCTTCCTTTGTAGGCTGTAACACTGCAATCACTTGAATCTGTAATTGTAATGAATTATTTAAATGATTTGTTCTGATTTTTGTTTGAAAAAGGACAAAAAAATATAATTAAATGTATAATCTAATTTAATAAAGAAATATAATTAAATAATTAAATTACCTCTTCGGTAGCAAAAAATTGCCTAACTATTTTCTCTGTTAATATTTTATTCGGCTTCCATCTATGCATTCTTGGATTCTACAATGTTTTGTATCTAGGACGTCCAAATTTTTGTCCAATTTGTGGAAAAGCTTTTTATGTCTAATACTGAAATATAATTGAAAATAAATATTAGATAGGAGTACCTAAACTATATATATAGACAGGTGAAAAATAAAAGAATAGAAGAAAATACATGAAATGTAAGTGGATATCCATGTAATGAATATTTACATTCATTTTACTCATTTGTTGCATTATCTATACTCTTTCTAGCTGCGATTCTTGCAGTGAGTTTAATACAACAAAATATGCATTACGACCCCATGGATACTCAAATAAGTCGTTAAGGTGTTCAACCATGCCCATAGTTCTGTAATCAATGTATTGTCCAGTAGGTTTCAAAACATACTCTACCAACATCACCAGTCCGAGCTTCAATTTATATTCTTGATGTTCACATAGGTGAAATGTTTCAAAATTCATTCTCATACTAATTTTTTTTGTACCATTAAAATATTGATTTCTAAATCGATCATTGTTGAAGTCAAGATTAATAGATACCTCGTGGCAAGGTAATTCGGTGATGAGACAAAACTCTTGCATACTAAATCGGGCCGAATGGTTATCTAATTTCACCCAGATTTCATTGTTTTTGTCACAATTTACAAGTCTCATTATGAATTCATGAACTAATTTGTTACTGAATTGTTGTTCTCCCTCTACTTTATAAATAACTCCATATATAAATCCATGAAAATTACTACACAATAAAAATGCTTGTTGATTTGCCTTGATAAGCTCTACAAAATCTTTAAAATATTGGTAATTTGGAAATTGAGTGATTGTAGTAGAAAATTATTGGTTTGGAGATAGTATATATTCCAAAGACACCTGCACAAATTATTAAAAAAGCACAATTTAATAGTAATATTTATTTACGAACAAATGGAATTCGAATTTGAAATGGGCATGTTTAGTGGAGGGTGTTTTCCGGCAATGGTGGGACCACCCTGTGGATGGAGTCTTCTGCATGGGGAGACCACGCAGCACGGACACAGATCTTGTCCGCACCGCTCTTTGCCAACATATCTGTGTGGCAGATACTTTAGAAGAGATAAGTTACCTTTTTCGGCGGTGATGAGGTGTGTGGCAATGGTGGCGGGGGCTGAAAGCTTAGCAAATGAATTGGAGATGAGAAATTTGAAAGCGTTGGGTAGTTGACCGTGTGAATTCTGTGTTGAATTGGTAAGTGAATTTCACAAATCTAATTGGTAAGGGATTTTTTGTTGAAAACTTTGGTAGTTGAAAGTGTGAATGCAAGTAAGAGTTATAATTAATATTTAAGTCATTTAATTGAAAATTTGTTAAAAATCAATATTCAAAATAATTCTACATTAATCATAAAACTTGTACTGTAAACAGAAATATTGTAAATCTGGTTAATATTATTTTTTGAAATACGTGTTGCATGTTAGTTGAATGTGAAGCAAACGTATGTTGTATGTTGCTCGTTCAGCTCGATGACTGACTGTGGAGAAATGTCGCGGAGAAGTAAGTATCTTCTTGATGCATGGACAAGTCTCCACACAAGGAGACTAAGTCCGCGCAAACTGGAGATGTCTCTGCGGAGAGGTCTCCACGCTAGGTGGAGACTGAGTCTGCGCAACGTGGAGATGTCTCCGCGTTGCGCGAGGACCTCTCCTTGGTCATTCCGAATCTCCACGTAGAGATTGCAGCTCAATTAGTGGAATTGATTTTGTTCTTCGAAAATTACTACAGAATGTCTTATCAAAATCCAGCGTGTGCTTTGAAGTTTTGGCATGGTTTTAATTGAAAATAGCGAAAACGAAAGTAAACGTGTTTTTTCCGTGTTTTTGAAAACTGAAACTGAAATGGCTTCAAAAGGCAAAGAGATGTATTAGTTATCTGATGAAAATTTAGATTAATAATAGAAAGTTATATTCTAGTGTCGTCAAAGCTGTATAATGTAAAAAATGGAGGTAAATTGACATGAACTAAAGCATCACACTATTTAATATATACTGAATACATAGGATGTTGAACAGTTATAAAGCCAAACTACAAATGATGTTTGGTTCAATAACTAATTCATTGGTAGCTTGACATTGAAGTGATATTCTAAAGTTCATACATGAATTGTAGGATTCAAGTTAACTGGAATGAGACAAAAGGAACAAAAACTATTTTTAGCTTTGACAAAAACCATTTTGAAGTTGCATCATTTATCTAATGCTTTAAGATTATGCATCATTCAGTAACTTCATCAATAGATTCTTTCATTGCAATGGCTTTGCCTTTGCCACCATCATCTCTTTCATTTTCATCTTCTTTCTTTTTAGAATGTGAAGGATTGGAAGCAAAACATAATTCTCTTTTGGATGATGATTCATTAGAATCATCTTATGTGAAGCGCAGTGATTTAGCTAGTGGAGTTAGGGATGTACTTTCATCAACTCTCTCATGTTGACTTTTTGTTGTTGTTGAAGACGTGTCTACAATGAACATGACATCGTACTTATATCTTTCTCCATTTTTCTGTTTCACAGCTTTAACATAGAAAAACAACTCTTCATTTGCTAAAGTGAAAATTGATTCTGGAAGAGTTGTTGTATGATACTGAAAGAAGATGACGGTATTTAGCAATGTAAATGAATGTATGATAGTGTAATAATTATAAAATATGTTTAAGGTAGGTACCTGAGTTATTCCTTTCATCAACGTGAGTGTCGAGCATTGTAAGATCTTTTCAGCAGGTTCTTCTATCATTGTAGCATGAATATATCATGACGAATCTTGCAATTGGATAGAAGCTCTTGCTCAGTGTTAATATAACACAGAATTTAATATGATATAGAATTGATAGATGATATAAGTTGTGGAAAAACACGCATTGTATTAAATTCTATTCATGTATATAGAATTATGACCTCGAAATAGCACAGGGCCTGAGAATATCTGCAGAATGATCAAGAATGGATTTCATCGAAATCAGCATATGTAGATTTATTGCAGTTGTTGCATGACATGTACCAGAAAGATTGATCATGATGTGTGATATGTGCATTTGCTTTTAACCAAAAGTAGTTTTGCTATGGTAACAAAATAAGAATCAGTTAATAAATATGTATGTTTGAAAATGAATAGGGAGGAAAATATATTATAGTTCAGGTAGATTAAATATAAGAATAAGGTCACTTACCACAAGCAAAAGACCTTCTATATTTCTGATTTGAGTGATTCTGTCTTCTTTTGGAACAGACACTCTTGAGGAAGTCGATTTGTAATAAAATTTCTTGGTTACGATGTCATTTAGTTTTTGAAGATTTGTATCCACCCTTGTATTAGATGTGATTAAAATAGTAAGTGATACAAAATCGAAAATTGAATAAAATTTACAGGTTGAAGATTTGAAATGCCTAAGCCTACTCACACTTTTAGTGTATCTTTTGGAAAGTAGTTTTTGTAAAAATAGTACTCAGTTTTTGTAAGAGTTTGAAAATTGAATCACATATCAAATGCATGTTGTTATTAGTGTTGTAATTTCTCAACTCACGTAAAGTTCAATGAAAGATAGTTGGAGCAAATGATATTCTATTTGTTTACAACACAAATGCACAACATTCAAAATTTCTATGCATGCACTTAAGTTATAAGGGAAAGTTCAGCTCTAAATGGAATTTGTAGTGTTTTTCTTAAATAATTACTTTCTTGTCAAAGTAATGTAACTGTAATGCCAAACGTAAAAGTATAGTAAACAACTTAAATTGAAGGAAGGTTTTAA